CCGCCCGCCCCCGCGCCTGGCCGGCTGCCGTCCACCCACGGCGCGCGGCAGTAGCAGCAGGTGACGGGGGCGCGCTGGGCGCGCTTGATGTTGGCCCACTTGTCGCAGCAGCCCGCGTGGATGTTGTTGCCGCAGGAGGCGCACCAGGAGATGGCCTCGCGGCCCTCCTGCATCGCGTCAAAACATACTGCAGGGAAGGGGAAGGCAGGGGGGTTGCGCAGCAGATTGCGGGGTTGGGGTTGGGTGGGTAGGTAGGTGGGGAGGGGGTTGGGGAGAGGAGAGTGATTTCAAGGGCACTCGCCGGAGCAACCGCGCTGATGTGGACGCGGCTGCACGCGCACATGCCCCTCCACGAGCGAGCGCGATACGTTCATTCTCAGCAGTTTGGGAAGCCGAGCGCCTCCCAGGCCCCCTTGCGCCCGCATGGGCAGCTGCCTGTGAGCGCGTCGAGCGGCAGCAGGAGCGAGCTGGCGCCGGGTGGCGCTGCGTTCTCCTGCGCAGTGGCGCTCCACCCAACCTGCGGGCCCCGCTCACCAGGGCAGTCTCCCTCCACGGGCCGCCGCACGCTCTTAGAGCCCGTGTCGGGCGCCGCCGCCGCCGCCGCCGCGTCGGCCGTGGGGCGGCCCATCAGCCGGGCATACTGGTTGCGCACCTGCGAGGGGGTATGGGAGCAGAGCGTGCAGGTGAAAGGCTGATTCGGTGCGTGTGCAGGGCGGCAGAGCGCAATGCACTTTGGCTCTTGGGCGCTCCGTTTGCATGTTTTGATACGGGGAGACAGCAGAACGAGGCTCCCAGCCAAGGAGCAGAGCAGAACGAGCCCGGCCGAAATGTGTAGGGTGCTAGTGCATCGCAGGCTCACCGCTGCGCTGGCCAGCACGTCCCCGCCACTGCTGCTTGGGGAGTGGTGCCCCGCCAGTACGTCCTCCACCTGGGCCGAATTGGTTGGGGTGGTTGGGTTTGTTGGGGGGAGAGGCATGTGATAAGGATTGAGGACTAGAGGCTGTCGTGCCTGGCAGCAATGCCCGGAAAAGCATGGTGAGAAAGGGGACCTGGAGAGTTGATCAAATGCAGCATGGCAACTATATCAAAAAGATAGTGCCTGGCGAGGCGAGGCGAGCCTGCTGTCTCGAGGAGGGGATGCCGAGAGGTTGCTGGGAGGTTGCAGCAGGGAGGTGGGAGTAGAGGCGCTCAGAGCCGCCCCCTCACCTCTTTTGTCAGCAGGGCCTTCTGCCAGATGAGCTCGTTGTCTGGTGAGAGCTGGGGTGCATTGGAGGGGCGGGAGGGAGGCGTCAGGATCGTGGTGTCGTGGGAGCAACGCAGCGCCTGGACAAGGGTGGCGGGGTGCTGCTGCCCTTCAGGAGCGGCTGCCGCGCAGCACTGAGTACGCGTGCACGACAAAAGCATGCAAGGGGCCAGTCTCCGACAGCTGCTTGATGCATGTCCAAGGGCTGCCCTCACCTTGAGGGCGCGGATCATCACAAACAGTATGTGCTTGCAGAGGTTCCCCTGCGGCGACGCGGCGTGATGCGGCCCAACAAACAGGTGTAAGTGTTGGCGGCAATTCACTGCACGGTCAGCGCGCTCTCCTTGCCGATGCCCCGCCCGTCCTCGCCCCAGCGCACGCCGTCATCCCCAGCGAACAGCCCTCCCCTCTGCGCTGCCCCCGCACCTTGGCAAAGTCGGGGCAGGTGCAGCAGGGGTTGCGGCTGATCTCCACATCGTACACTTTGGGGGGTTAGAGATGTGAAGCAGACGGGACAGACAGGTGTGCGATGCTGGATATCAGATGAGGCGTTGGCTGGTCCTGGATAAAAAGCGCCGCCGAGAGCTGCAAAAGCTCTAGTGTGTTGACAACGGCGCAGGCGCCCCCAGCGGCAGCATCAACGCGAACCCTCGCTGCTGTGGCAGCAGGGTGCAGGCCCTCACGACATGCGAGCGGACGACGCAGCCGTCATGCCCTGACAGGACCCGGCCCAATGTGCAGCCCAGTGGCTCCACCCTCTCGCGCCACAGTGGCCCGGAGCACTCACAAGTACTGTACCCTGCCCCCGCAACACCGCGCAGCTGGCTACGAGCCCGGCGCCCCTGCTCACCGTTGCCGGTGGCGCCCAGCACCGCAAACTTGTGGGCCCTCCCGCCGGGGGCGCCCGCGGGCCGCACCTCCTCTGTCGACACCAGGAACATGCGGTGCGCAGAGCCTGGGGGTTGGGAGAGGTTTCGAGAGGTTTCGGGGTCGGGGATCAGGGCCGAGGCCGAGGGGGCACGTGGGGGCCGCAGCTATGCGCAGACACTCAGCAGCGCGTGACGGATGCCCGTGCGCCCGTGGCGCGTCAGGCCGCCTGCGACCCAGTCCACCTGGTAGGGCGCGCGCGATGCGGTCCTGGACTTTCTGGGAGGGTGCGCCCAGCTTCCTGAGGTGGCGGGGGTTGGGTCGGGTCGGAGGCATGCGGGAGAGGGGTCGCAGGTCATGCTTGAACCAGGCTGGGGAATGAGCAGCCTAGTGAGAAAGAGGGACGAGGTTACATATGCCGCGGGCAAACTCAGGGCGTGACTCCGAGGAAGCACGTTAAAAGGAGATCACGCGTGACAGCTGCCACGGGCGTGCACAGCCGGTGCCGGCTCAGCAGCTGCACGTCAAAACTCTTTTCGACTCCACAGCGCTGCGCGCAGCCACGGAGCAACACCCAAGCCCAGAGCGCGCAGCAACCAAACCTGACAGTCTTCCCATCTGGCCCGGTGCGTTTCTCCTCGGCCTCCTTCTTGGGTGCCTTGGGCGCCCGCGGCTGCTTGGCCTTTGGCGCCGCTGCGGCCTTGCGCTTGGGCGCCTTCTTGGCGGCAGCGGTGGGCTCGTAGTCAGACCCGCCTCCGCCTCCCTCCTCAGAGTCCGAGTCCAGCAGCTCTATCACCTCGCGCTTGCGCGGCATGCTGCTGCTTGCGGCGCTGCCTGTGCTCTTCCGGGGTCACAAAGAGTTCCTGGGGGCGCAAGCGCAAGCGCGGGCGCGCAAGCGCAAGCGCGGGTGCAGGGCAGCACGGGCCAGTGGAGTCGGATGGGGCCGTCCACTGGGAGCCAGCACGCAGGTCGCCCTGTAGTCGACCCGCCATCAGGCGTATCACGCGCACCTGATGCTCACACGCCTTCAAACTCGTGACCTGTGGGCTGAAGGCACCTGCAATGCGGCACGCGCAACGCGGCGAGGGCGAAGACACGCCCCTTGTGGCGTCGGGTGGGGCGACGCTTGCGGCGGACCACTGCGACGACTGTCCCGTATCCACGAAAGCATCCCCACATAACAAGTGCACGCGGAATGCTGAAAGCGTCGCACGGACCTGAGGCTGTTGCACACTCCACCCGAGTGCTCGATCTACGGTATGTGCAAGAATTGATTGATAGACTGCGTGCATACAATACGAATTAATTTTGGTCTTGTTTACGGTACACTCCCGCTGGTACTCGCTCTTGACAAGATCGGACAATTTCGCGATCGCGTCGCCTCCGAGCGCTTTGCTTGTCTCCAAGCGGCACCAAAACATTGAAACATTCAACAGCTGTCGAATAAAGCCGGCAGACCACTCGCCGTGCATTCTGCAGCCCGCCCGCCTAGATCGCGTATTGACTGCGCAGCGGTCAACACCAGCAGCATGGAGGACTTTGAGGTGTGGGGGCCGCCGCGTCAACATCGAGTGGCCACAGATGTGTGACATCGTTCACACACAGATGCTGAGCCGTGGCGCTCCAAGCGAGCGCGGCGCTGCTGATGTGGCATGTGTTGCACCTGCCGCGCACTCGGTGTGCACATGCAGCAGCACCGCATGCGCCTGCTGACTGCTTTTCCCCGACCGCGTACCACGAATTTACAACTGTGCAGCGTGAGATTAAAGTTCTGGTGGTGGGCAACGGTGGCGTCGGCAAGACCAGCATGATCAAGCGCTTCTGCAGGCGCGGCGCGCCTGCTCCACGGGACCGAGTGCCCTTGGACCTCATGCGTGCAGCGTAGCGGAAGGGGCCAGGGTGCAAGACTGCCCAGCCGACCTTGTACCGGCACGTATGGCACCCATCTGCACAGGCATGCAGCACTGCACCTCAGTCCATCGCCTATTTTAGCCCACCTTTCGCACCAAACAATGGCTCGTTCCTGCAACACGCTGGATGCGTGCCGTGCAGGGGCGTGTTCACAGAGGATTACAAGAAGACAATTGGCGTGGACTTTCTGGAGAAGGCGCTCTATGTCCCGGCACTGGGGGAGGACGTGCGGCTGTTCTGCTGGGATACTGCTGGGCAGGAGGAGTTTGACTCGATCACGAAGACCTACTACAGGGGTGCGCAGATGTCGACGTAGGCAGCTGCTTCTGGGGGCTTGGTTTTGGGAGAGGGTCGCTTTAAGGGGTAGCTGCAAGCGCTTTTCGGGAGCTGGTAGCTGGCAGGGCGGTCAACAGAGCCAGCAGTCAGCGAAGGCGCTGGTTGGGACCTACATAATGCGCCTCCACCCCCTGGTCCGCCCCCTATCAGGAGCCGGGGCGGCCGTGATTGCTTTCTCCACAACCGACCGCGCCTCGTTTGACGCTGTACCATCGTGGCGGCGCAAGGTGACGGCAGAGTGCGGCGACATTGCCATGGCGCTGGTGCAGAACAAAGTCGACCTGCTTGACAGGTGGGGGGGCCCACTTAGGCCTGTGGCTGGCCAGGGCTGGAATCGCTTGGGATGAAACATTGAATCTGTCGATCGTCGGTGCTGCTTGAGGGTGAGGGCCGCGCCTCCGGAGTTTGGCGCTCTGCCGGCCAGCGGCCGGCGGTTTCGCTTGTGAGTGTCGCCTGAATATGAGATTCTGCCGGCACCGGCGGTGTCAACCCATGTGGTCTCAGGGCCGTGGTGTCGAGCGAGGAGGCGGAGGAGATGGCGCGGCGGCTGGGGCTCAAGTTCTACCGCTCCTGCGTGAAGGAGGGGCTCAACGTGACAGAAGGTGCGCGCGATGCTGCTCAGCTGCACGCTGACCGGGCCGGGAAGCAGACAGGCGCAGTGTTGCGTGCTGGTGTGGTGCGCATCCTGCCGTTGACGATGTGGCAGAAGTTGCGCTGGAGTGTGCTTCCATGCTCGGCCACCGCACCATGCTTTATCGCTCCTCCTTGCCAATCGCACTGCAGTGTTCTCCTACCTGGCTGAGCTGCATGACAGGAAGATGGCGGCCGGCCAGATTGCCAACCGCCCGGCGGCGCAGGCACTTGCGCCCGCGGCAGCAGCTGGGGACGCCTCAGCAGACGGCTCCGCCGCTGCACGCGCGGCCCCGGCGGTCATCGCCGAGGTCGTCACCCCCAGCGGCGCGCCCGGCGGCAAGAGTGGAGAGAGTGGGAAAGGCTGGTCTGGCGCGGCAGCGGCAATGCCGGCGACGGTGGAGCTGCAGCCGAGCAAGCGGCGCGGGAAGAAGAGCCTCGGGCAACGCGTGGCCAAGGCGGCAACCAAGGCCAAAAGCCAGTGCTACAGCTGATGAGGCCGTTGCAGCCACCTGTTTGCGGGAGAACTTGTCCAGCAGTAGCAGCGTCAGATGAAGGGACGGGCAAGGGTTTTCTAGGGTCTGGAGGCCGGGGTCCCTCCGAGGGTGCTTTGCCCTTATGAGAGCAGCAGGATGCGCACCGCAGCTGCATGAACTGTGGTTTACAAACATTTTGTTGGGGTCTAGTTTTGATCTGGCAGGCACTCATCCAACGGCACAAGTAATGCTTTCTGCTAGTTTTTTGGAGTCGGAACTGGTTGAAACTCAGAACTCTGGTTTTCAGTAGTCGGTGGTTACATTGGCTTGCTCGTTGAAAAGGCACGGCTCAGCAAAACTCAGCTGCCACGCCTGCAGGACATATAATTGTGGAAACAAATAGCTCCAGGCAGACAAAAGCCAGAGGCTTGGCGCAACAGGGCGGACCCCACGGACCGGCAAGCGCCCCCCACCTCCACCTAGTCCACGCTGCAGAGCAGCGCCACGCCGCGTATGGTCCACTTTGACTTGTCGTCCTCTGTCCGCAGGCTGAAGGTGGTGATGAAGTTGTTGCCGCGCCGTGCCTTGACGCGGTAGCATGGCGCCTCAAACACGCCCGCGCGGCGGCGGTCCTTGGCCTGTGTGTGTGTTGGGGGGGGGGTCGGGTCAAGGGTCGGTCAACACCTGGCATGCCGGATTTTCGCCTGGCCTCACGCTTGGGCAGACCGAGCGCATGCACCAGAGTCGGCCTCCTATGAAGGATGCCTGCCCATGTGCTGGGAAGCACAAACACACGTGTCGAGAGGCGACAAGCCATCACCCCGCGGCGGGCGCCCGCACCTGCACGCCCGTCACGTAGAGCACCGGCAGTGAGTGGTAGAGCTTCTTGGGCTCAGAGTCCACCAGCCGGTTCTCACGCCCACTCCTGAGGTGAGAGAGGGGCCAGGCCGGAGGTGGTTGCGAGTGATTAGGGTTGCGAGCCGTGATCCGCGCAGCCAGCACCCCAGTGGGCACTTTGCTTGCTCCCACTGTTTGCTGCGTTGCAGTCGCCCACTCGCTTGCCTTCTCGTCAAAGGTTGCACGTCGTTGCCCCTGCCCGACCCGCCTAGTGCCGCCCCTTGTGGTGGGTGCAGGGGCGTCCTGCTGTCATGTTGGGGAGCCACGGTCATCACACCGCGCGCCCCCTCCACGCACCATGCGCAGCCGTCCAGGTAGAGGCCGTAGACGTAGACCCCCTCAGAGGGGCTGTCCTTCAGGGACTCGTACTCCTTGGGGGGGTGCGTCACCTGGGGGGAAGCGTGGTGGATGTTTGTGGACATGCGCCGTGAGACGTTGGGTGTTTGCCAAGGGTGTGCAGCGAGCGGAGCTCGTCGTGTGTGCACAACACCTTTGCCAGGGCACCAGGATTCATCAGAGTCAAATTGTGACTTCTGAAACCAGAGGGCTGCCTTAATAGTTGCCCAGATCTGCCCTGCGGGTCCTCCAAGCCCTGTCAAACCCGCCCGCACGCGCGCAAGCGCGAGCACACAGCGACACCATGTTCGAGAAACCCCCTCCGCCCACCTCGCTGGTCATGACCACGTCGTCCAGGGCCCACTTGTCTGCCGCGTGGCGGCGGTTCACCTCCTGCTTCATGGCCGTCAGGAACCCCTGGGCGCGCGGCGCCAGCGGCGGCGGTCGCCGTGGTGGTGTGCACGTGAGCGAGGTTGGCGGAGCGGCGGGGCTTGCGCAGAGGCGCTGAGGAATTCAAGGTGAGAGCAGTTGACAAGGGCGACAGAGTGGCTGTTGTTGCGACTGTGTGATGCAGGCGCTGGAAGACAGCCGAGACACTGGCACGCAACAGGTGAGACGTGTGGAGCGGGCGGGCGGGGTTGAATGGGTGCAGGGGCAACGCATCTGAGCATCAGCATTCTGGGCAAACCTGAGGATTGAAGAAGCCCGTGAGCCAGTAGGCACGGGGCCGGCCCATCGTCAGCCACTTGGCCAGCTGGTCGTGGCGCTGCGCAGCCGGGATCGGAGCAGCAGCAGAGGGAGCAAAGAGGCATCAGCCTGTGTACGTTCGAATCCCCCAGAAACTGCAGCTCTTCAGCAAACTCGCCTCTGCACCGATGCCTGCCATTCCTGAGCCGTGGGTGCATGCAGCTGTTCGCCCAGCACATCGCGCGACTCGCACCCACGCACCCCACCCCCTCCCCCCCTTGGCGACCCACCTGCAGCAGCCCCGCGAACCATGCGCCCAGCGTGGCGGCCTCCCAGCTGCACTTGAGCCAGGCAGCGGGGATGCGCGCCATGAAGAGGGCGTCCAGGGACTCTATGAGGTTGCCACTCAGGGCGATGGTGCCTGGGAGGGGGGCGGGGCGCAAGGAGGAGGGCCAGAGGCAATGGGTGGGCGTGCAGGTGTGTTTCGCGGGGCAGCGACGGTCGCGTTTGTGGATTGCTGGCAGGTGTACGGCAAGGGACAGGCGAAGTAGCCTGCGTCACAAGGCACAGCCCCCGGGTGAGTGCTGAGCAGGCGCCTGGGAGCGCTGGGTCAGCAGAGGGCTGCCAGGCGGGGGGGGGGGGGGGGACCCACCG